GAAGATCGGTTCTGTAGTCGATCCCCTACCCGAGTGGAGGAACCACGGAGAAGCAACGACGACGAATAAGACGCCGAGGGTGGCGACGAGGAACGCAAGGACGACGACGGGGAGCCCACGGAGCGCAGGTGCCCAGCGCGCGCCGGCTCCGCGCTTGCCCCTCGCTGATGCGCTCTCGCTCGCCCTCGTCCTCCCGTCGTGCCCGCCCGCCTCCCATCCACCTCCCTCCAATGGAGGCCTCCTGGATGGGGTCCGAATAGATCTATGTCGGGCGTGTCGTCGTACAGGGGGATCTCGGACGAAACAAAAAATACAGCAACATATTTAAAACATACCCAACTATGTTGCTTCGAGTGATCCCCACCGAAACCTTCGGCGTTCGGTCCCAACGGTGCACGCGCCTACTGGAAAGATGTGCGCAGTGCCCGGCGCTGCTGTATTCAAAAACGTTGGACAGTATTCCATGGAGTAACTCTCTAACATATTATTCTCTGCTATGTCTATTCATGTGCTCGACGGGCCGGCGTGACGTCGTGACGCCTGGGCCACACAGTCGAGTTGTGGCTACTGTATACGCGATGATGTGCTAAAGTGTGTGTGTGTGGTGGGATTCTGCCCCGATGTAGAATGTGACGCTGTGTTCTCTGATGTTATGATACCGACGGGCCGGCGTGACGTCGTGACGCCTGTCACGCTAGAGACATCGTCGTATCGCTCATTGATGTGACTCTTGAGTCCTGCGGCGACGCTGACCACAATGCACGTACGGTGTATTATGTTACGATATCCCGCTGCCCTTCCGTTATCTGCCTCAATATGCTTTGGGACGTTAAATTATGCTCTGCCCTCTGGCACCATGTTAGAACATGATCTGTTCTCCCAACTGTTGTTATTATATGGTATGTTCCGTGATGGTGTTGCCGACCCGGCTCAATATAGCAAAATATGATATAATGTGTTAGTATGGTTTGCTATGCCCTGTTCTGTCGTGGTACTCCTCTCCTCCACTGCACTGCTGCCGCTTCTGTATTCAAAAGCGGTTCAACCGTGTTCCATGTAGTAGCGATCTTTCATGTTATGCTCTATAATGTAATCAGAAGTTGTCAACGGGCTGGCGTGACGTAGTGACGCCTGTGACGTTAGATGCGTCGTGTGTTGTGATGATCCCCTTCACCTATCTGTTTCTCTTCTGGTTGAATATGCTATGTTATGCTCATATATGTCACCATCTGGTTGGAGATGCTATGGTATGACCTGCGTTGCGGCATTCTGCGTTTGCATGCTATGCTGACATTTTACGTTGTAGTATGTTTTGTTCCGTGATGTTGTTGACGGCTCGGCTCAATACATTATGTTATGATCTGCTCTGCTAAAATGTTTCGCAATGCTCTGGTGCCGTGTTGTGATATGGTATGTGATGTCGTGGCATGATCTGATGTGTCCTGCCATACTTTTATGTTATGCTCGGTTATAGTATATTATGTTGTGTTATGTCGTCTTATGTTCTGTCATGCTATGCTCTGGTATGGTATGTGAGATTGTGCTTGTGGACGGCTCGGCGCAGTATATTATAGTATGGCCTGCTACGCGTGGCGATATGATACACTGTCGTGTGATGATATGTTCTGCTATGACGTGCAATGATATGGGATGTTCTGGCCAGGTGTCGAATGGCTTCTTCGGTTATGTTATAATATGTTATGGTATGTCGCCTTCTGTTCCACCATGCTATGATATGATGTGGTATGCGTTCTACCGTGCGTGTTTTGTGTCATGCGATTGCTATGTTATGCCCTGTCATGCTATGGCATGATCGTGTTATGGTATGGTATCTTTTGGTGTGACATGTTGTGCTCTGGCGAGTTCGCCGCTGTGCTCTGCTGTCGTCCTATGATATGTTTGGTGACGTTGTGTCATGGTATGATATGTGATGCCACTGTGCATTATATTATGCTTTGTCATGTTATAGTATGTTGGGTGATGCCGCTTTCTCTATATGTCATGCTCTGCTGTGGTATATCTTGTGGTATCCTGGCGTCCTCTGTTCTCTCATGCGAATGATATGGTCTGTTCTGCCATGTTCTGTCATGTTGTTTTTCTGTTCTGTCATGTTATGTTGTGTGTGTTTGCTGTGTTTGTCGAAGGCGCGAGGCGGGATACCCGGGATTATCGGGACAACTTGAGGTCTGGCGGCCACGGTATGCAGGGTGTGTTCTGTCGTGTTTGTCGAAGGCGCGAAGCGGGAGAACCGGGACTCTCGGGACAACTTGGGGTCTGGCGGCCGCGGTATGCAGGGTGTGTTCTGTCGCGTTTGTCGAGGGCGCGAGGCGGGATAACCGGAACACTCGGGACAAGTTGGGGTCTGGCGGCCGCGATATGCAAGGTGTGTTCTTTCGTGTTTGTCAAAGGCGCAAGGCGGGATAACCGGGACACTAGGGACAACTTGAGGTCTGGCGGCCGCGGTGTGCAGGGTGGGAATGGCCGGGAGGTCTGTTTGTAAAATCTAACGACCCCAACCTGTCCGGTGGGGAAGAATACTCAAAACATCGTCCCCATACTGTTTATGGACTATTTTTCAACTGTAGAGGGACAGGCCCGACTCAAGAGTAGATGGGGTCGGAGGATCTCGCCGTATTGCCGGTGCATCGGCAGTGCATCGCCGATGCATGGGCGATGCATCGGCCATGCACTGGCGACGTCGGCGATGCATCGGCGACGTCGGCGTGGAAAAAAATTGGCTCCGCATCGAGCCGCATCGCCGATGCATCGCCGATGCATCGACGACGAGGGGCGATCCTCCGACCCCATCTACTCCGACCCCATCTAGGAGGCCTAGATCATGAAACCATGACGAAGATGCCATCGGGTGGGGGTACCTCGAGAATCTCTGAGATACGGCGGCTCTGGAGGATGTCTCGCGCGCCGCGGCCTTCTCAGAGCGTTCCGGAACGCTCTGAAGGCGTCCCGGAACGCTCTGGGACAGATTTATCCTCGTAGGCGGGGCAGCCGTCTCTTGATGTCTGCCTCATTCTGTAGTCTCAAGGTTCTTCTCGAGCTTGCAGAGCAGACGGGGTTCAGCCTTGCGCTCACACGTCGGTCCGACGACTAGTCGACCCTCCTCCCTTGCTGGCGCGCCGAGTCGTCGGGGGCGGCCAAAAGGGGGGCGTCCAAGAGGGGGGGGTGCAAATCATGACCGGCGGCATATGCGCGGCCCAGAGACGTATTGAAATGAGAAGAGGCGCCGTGAAATCTGGGGAGATTTCATGGCCCCCGCCAAGATATCCCCCCCCCCCCCTAGTCATCCTCCCCCTCTCTGCCGACCCCGAAGCCGGGTGGGGCGAGTGAGGCCAGCCTTCCAGGGAAGGCATGCGAGATGCCTTCCCAGCTCCGAGGGCAGAGCTGCCCTCCGAGAGTCGGCGGCGCGCCGAGGGGAGGAGGAGGAGGAGGAGGAGGAGGAGGAGGAGGAGGAGGAGGAGGAGGAGGAGGAGGAGGAGGGGGCGGGCCTCCTCGGCAGGCTCGGGAGGCCTCCCCCCAAGACGCGCGACAAGAGCCTCTCAGCAGGCGCGCGGGCCTGCGACGTCCCGCCGCCTTCTGCGACGGCCTTCTCCTTCTCACTCCAGGAGGGGAAAAACATAAAGGCACAATCTAATCGTCGATTCCGAAGAGAATATAGGAAAATGTGGGAAGTGGGGAGAAGACAAAAAAAACCCAGAACACATGGGAACATATGGTGAATCTCTTTATTTTGTGTGAATTTATCTGTGTGTCCCAGGGCCCCTTCACCACTCTCCCCACCCCCCTCGCTCGCCGCCGAGAGAAGCCTCCTGCCAGCAGCCCTCGCGCCGTTCACGCGCAGCTCGGCCGAGAGGCTCCCCAGGAGCCACTCTCGGAGGCCCCCCCCCCCCCCCGGCCCCGTTGGAGGGCCGACCCCCCTGGCCCCACGCCGCTCTTGCCCGCCGCCGGCCCCCCCTCCTCTGCCTCGTCGTTGTCCTTGTCCTTGTCCTCGTCCTCCTCTTCCCCCTCCTCGCCCTCCTCCTGCTCATGCCCTCCTCCTGCTTCTCCTCCTCCTCCTCCTCCTCGTTGCCCTCCTCCCCGTTCTTCGCGCCCTCCTCGCCCTCCTGCTCATGTTCTCCCCCGCCCCCCCAACGTCAGGACTTGGGGCCGTGCAGCTGCCGCCCCCGGTCCAGGCCAACCTCGGAGGCCTCGGGCGGCCGCGGGCTGGGGGGGCCCATGGAGGCCCGCCGGGGCGCCCGCCTCCGAGGGCTGCCTGGGCGCGGCCCCGGGCCCTGCCGCTCCCCGTCCTGCAGTGTGTCGCCCTCCTGCAGTGCGTCCCCGCCCCGGAGCGGGCGAGGGATGTTTGCCGTCGCCCGGACGTCCATTTCCCGTGCATGTGTCGGTTTCGCGCGTGCTTTTTTTTGCTCGATGGTCCAGGATGCTCCTCCGGGGTCCTCGCCGAGAAAAACATGCACACGTCCGAGCGATGCCAGGAGACCGGAGGCTTCCAAAGGGGGCTCTTGGGGAGGGGGTTCTCCAAGTGGGGTCCCCCAGGGGCTTCGCACCCCCTGTCACGACGAGGTTCCGAGGCCCCTAGGGGGCTCTCTGGAAAACCCCCTCCCCCAACGCCCCCTTTGAACCCTCCGGCAAGAGGGTCGGCAAGGCATGGGAGGCTGCCGTGGAAGAAGAGTAGAAGTGGACCTGAGCCAGAAGAGCATCCCCCAAGATTCTGAGATACTCCGCCGACCAAAACACACAGAACATCCTAGGGAACCTCCCCAGGATGCACAAGAAAACCCAACAAACAAGAAGAACATGATGATACCCTCCCCGAACCGGCCTCGACCGTATACCTCGGTCAGGCTGTAGACTATGCGCTGCTCTGAGACGCTCTAGCGGTCGAGTCAAAGCGCTGCCACGAGCTGCAGCGGCGACGGGTAACTTTGACCGCTTCTGGTCCGCAACGCTCGCGTTCATGCGACACCGCATCAAGGAGCCAGCAATCCAGAATACGGAACGAAACTCAGCGAGTCGCGTGCACAAGGCTCGCGGCCTTGTATGTCGCAGGACAACAAAACACACAATGGTCGTTAAGGCGCCAACGTCCCCCCGTACTCGAAGCCCACCTGTCGGGAGCAGGCAGGCAAGCGACATGACATCGACCAGCAGAGTGGGGCCGACAACTCAAGAGTGGGGTCTGGGGGGGCGCTTTATTCCACACAATGAGTCGTCCCCTGTTCCCTGTGCCTACTTCAGACCATGCTTCTGGTTGCGCCTGGACAGGAAGAATTTGGGCCGGACATTCCCTTGTCCCTTCATGCATCTACTCCTGGGAAATCCTGCGAGGCAATGCTCCCGTCCTGGCTGCAATGGCTGATAGGCCCTTCGGGGTGCTGGCAATCGCCGAGTTGTTGCCTTCATCCTGAAGGGGAGATCCCATCCACAGCGAATTCGATGGGAAGCTCCCTTCTCATCCACTCTCCCGCCCTCGTCCTTTCTTGCTGCCCCCACTCCCCCTATCCTCCTCAAGCTCCTCCCTGCTGCCTCCTCTGCCTTCCATCCTCCTCCACCCCTCCTCCCCTCCTCCTCTCGGCGGAGCAGGGCGAGTCGACGCAACGGCAGATCAGCGTTGGCCCCCAGGACCTCTCCGGGGGCCCAGGCGCTCTTGTGTGTCCGAGTTGCGTCCAGCCGTGGCGACGAGGCCCCCCCCCCCTCCCCGAAGGCCCACCATGCCGCTGTGCCTCAACTCGCCCTCGCCAGACACCAGGCCCTTGCCAGGGGGAGGGGGGCGTGGGCAAGGAGAGCGAGACTTCAGAGCCAGATGCGTCTACGACCAGGACGGCGACGAGCACAGACCTGGCTGCGCTCCGCGAGCCAGCGCTGCTGAAGGCGCAGCTCCTTCTCGACTGCTGTGAGTACGCCCTTGGGCAGCACTGCTCTGCCGAGCTCCTCCAGGTCAGACTCCGCCAGCGACCTCGCTCCCCGCACCATTGCCCTCCTCCTCCTCCTCCTCCTCCTTCGCCGTGCTCTCTCCCTCCTCCTCTCCCTCGGCGTTTTGGGGGAGACCTTTGGCCTAAAGCGCTCAGCAAGGCCGATCCGGCGGCCAGGGCTGAAATACAGATAGACTCGCTCCGCGGCCGCCCTCATCTTATCACCTCCTCCTCTCTCCTCCTCCATCACGTCCTTTTCTTGCACGTGCCCCTCCTTCTCCTCGTCGTCCAGATCATCCAGCACTCGGGGGCGTCCAGGGAGGGGGGCGTCCACGAGGGGGGTGCGCACATCGTGGCCGGCGGCATGTGCGCGGCGGGGGGGGGGCCGGGGACGTATTGAAAGAAAGTAAGAAGAGGCGCCATGAGATGTGTGGAGATACCATGGCCCCCGTCATGGTGCCCCCCCCCCCGAATCATCCGCCCCCCACCCCTTCGTGGGCGCGAAAACATCGATTGGTGATCCATGGAGTTGGCGCGCGGTCGTCAAATCCCTGGATCGGGGGATGTGCCCTCCCCAAACTGCGGCCAGTGCCGCCCCGTTCGGCGCCGGAAATCCGCGATCTCTCGTGGAAGCGGGACCCGTCGCTAATCCACGCCCCCCTGATCCATGTTAGCGATCGCCGGAATGATGTCCCCCCCCGGAGTCATCAACCCCTCCCTTGGCTCAAATCGGGACTGTCCCTCTACAGGGGGAATATTACAACATAGTGATACAAAAAAATTACGGGAACATTTTTTTGATCATGTTTTGACTATTTGAGGGCATTGTTTTGCATACTTTAATGTTTGGCCCAAAATTCGCCTGCGGGGGGATACGCCCGACCCAACCCTTGGCCGCCCCCCCGAGACATCTTCCCCCGCTTCGCCCTGCGACCCCTCGGTGCTGCTGTGCCTGGGACCTGCCGCGAGGGCCGGCGGGCACGCCGAGACGCCCGGACAGCCAGCGGGCCTCGTGGACCAGCCGTCTTGGGCCGTTTAGAGGCGCGGCCTCCATCTTCGCGCGTGGTCCTACAGGGGGGAAAGAGGAGGGGGAAGGGGGGACGAGGAGGAGCAAGACAGAGGAGGGGGAGGAGGAAAATACGACGCTGACTGGCTGACGCCGCGCACCGTCAGATGGGCGCCAGGCGCGCGCAGCAGACTGAGGGGTCGCTTGCCACCGCTCGGGCGTCCCTTCCCGTACAGTCGGACTTGATTGGGCAGGGCACGCGAGAGGACAAAAGACCCTTCCGAGGCCCACATTGCCATAGGAATGCAGGAGACACGGGTCGCGCGACACAGGACACAAGGGTACCCTTGATTTGGCAGGGTCGACCCACTAATCCGGGCCGACTATACGTTGTTCGGTGTCGTGCGTGTTTTGTCGTCGTCGGATATCCAAGACGCTCCTCGAGTGTCCTCGCGGGGGGGGGGAATAGCACACGTCCGAGCGATGTCAAGACGAGAGGGCGGATCGGGCACGGGGCGGGTGAGAGCACTGGCCCGTTCAACGAGACAAGGGCGCGCTGCTGGATCTCTGGGGCTGGCCCAAGCACGTGCATGAGAACATGAGCTCGTTCTTCCTGGCCGATCTACTTCTCCCTCGCAGGATCGATCCTTGACGGCGGACCTTATCGGCCTGGCAATGCTGACTTCTGACCGTCGAGTCACGGTCACGAGGGCTTACATGACGCGACGTGATGCGTTTTAGTATCATCACGGCGTGAGGTATCAAGAGAACTGCGACCTCTACGATGCCGTCGTGGAATGGAGCCAAACAACGCGGACAGCACCCTGCAACGTATAGGGAGACACGATCCCCGCTGCTCACCCAGAAACAACACGCGTTCCTCAGGACTCAACTCCTGGGAGGCCTTCGAAGCACTATGAGGCCTGATGAAAAGAACACCATTCAACCCGATACGCCCAGGTTGAACTCGACGGTGCCAGCTTCAGCGGTATTCCGCATATGACTAGACGGAGTCGTGCGGGATTCGGCCAGTATTCGACCACTCACATGCCAGCGCCGATGCTGAATCAAACCCCAGCGCCCCTCTACCGGCGAACCCAGCCCTCCCCGATGTGGGAAACGCTGCAATGCCAGAAAGGGGCCCTAAAGCGGCAACTTCCGGCAGATTTCCGAAGTACCCTTTAGTGAGTACACGTCGTTCATTTCTAATCGTGCTCATTTCTAATTGTGCTCGATTCTAATGGTTCCTGGCCCCCTAGTGGCCAGGACGAGGCCCAGGATAGAGCCATTAGACATGAACGGACCTTGGCCCCCCAAAAAATCAAAGAACTCTCGGCATGAGCAGTGCGTACCCGTTGCAATGCCGCTGAAAACCTCCTGGACTTGCACTCCCGCGCCCCCTGGGCTGCTCCAGAGAACCTCCGGACTGTCAAGGGCGACCCCTGGCTCGCCATCGCGCGGGCGTCCACCCCTCATGCATGCTTCGACTTCGCGCGTGCGCTCTCTTGCCCGATGATCCAGGATGCTCCTCGGTGGTCCTCTCCGGGGAAAGATGCACAGGTCCGAACGATGCCAAGGTCAGAAGGCGACCCCTGGAGGGACCCAAAAGGGCCCCAGGGCAACCCCAGTCAGCAGGCCCGGCACGAATCCGAGGCAGCTCAGCACGGCTCCAAGCAGCCGCAGGGCCGCCCTGGACAGCTGCAAGACCACGACGGCTTCAGGTGCGCACGAAAACCCCGACAGATCCGGAAGGTCGCAACAGACGCTCGAGCGCCACAGAGGGGGAACCTCAATGAAGCAGCTTTGATCTTCCAACGGAGGGCCCGACGCACGGGCTGTCCTGACCAACTGCTACACCCGTGCCAGAAAGCGAGGGCTCTTCCAGCACATCCACGTGTACGACTGCTCCTTCCCCTGCCCGCATCACGACTGCTGCTGATGCTCCTTTGATTGCCACTGCTTCCCTTGGCCCCGCATCCTATCTCATTCGCCCCCGTCATCCTCATCCTCATCAGCATCAGCAACACCATTCCCCTCACCCTCCTCCACATGCTCATGCTTCCCTCACGCGCGGGGGCCTCCCGCGCCCCTCTCTTCACCCTGGTCCGTTCGTTGTCCTGTTCCTCCACCTCCGCATTACGAACGGAGGAAACCAGCGAGCCGACAAACTGACGACAGATGACACAATTGTCAATCCCATGGCGCCGACTACATGATGACCGCACCCATTGTCTGCAAGGGCATAAAACCACCGTGTGCCATCGCAATCCGCGGGCGACCAATACGTATTCTTCTGCTGAGTGGGGGGGGGGCATCAATTGCTCAGCAGTGAGTTGCGTGGTGGCCAGGTGGGTTGGTCATCAGTGGCCCGTTCGCAGGTAGGAGTTGTAACACAAAGCCTCGGGAGGCACCCCAAACACGCACAGACATTGCATTGTTTCCACGTCTGTAATGTAGCCTTCGCCAAGGCCTACATGGGCTCGGTGGTGAACAAGCGTCCCTCTCATCTTGCAGCTGAACGGGGCTCCTCATCAAGATAATCATCTTTTCTTCCTGTTCCTCTTCTTGTCCTCCCTCTGCGTTTCCGAGCTTCCGCGCTCTTCCCCCTCTCCTTCTCGTTCTGCCCCAGCCCCCCTTCTGGCCCTCCTCGTCGCCCCCGTCATCCTCCTCGGGCCTGTGGTGCTTCTCTGGGTCACCCTGGTCGGGCTTGCCGAACGAGTCGAGCTCCTGGGCAAGCGTGCTGATGTTCAGGAACAACGCCTTGACTGGAGCGCTCGGCAGAAATCAACGCGGATGTCCAGGCGCCGTGAAAAAGCCACGACGGCCCTCTTCTCACGAACGATGGGAAGATTCACATCCTTGTCCTCTCGGCCTGGACACCGAAGCGCGAGCCGATTGATGCGCGATCCCACGCGCTCCGCGCGGAGGAAATCAACGCGACGCCGTCCTGCATCGACGGGGTCGCGGCCGAGGAGCTCAGACCGTGGAGCCATAGATGTGGACAAATTTCCCGCCCGCGATCTTCGGCTGGACTCGGGCCCCCGGGACCCTGGCGGGTCGATCCCGACCGAGGAAGTCCCCCCGGGGAGATGCGGTCGAGGGCTCCAGTCGTGGCCTCTCGCGGTGCCGAGGTCAGCTCGTGGCGTCGGACCTCAGCCAGGGGCACGCCGACACGGGTCAATCAGATCCGGGAAACCAGGGCCATGTCGCGAACACTGGCCAGTCGCGACGCAACCCCCGAACCCGAGGCCAATATAAGGACCGTAGAGGCTCCACTTGGCCAACATACTGTAGGTCCGTCGGCATGCGCAAAGGCTTTTGACACCGCGTCGATCGTTCAGCCTTGAAACCACGGCGGCCACGATCGTTCAATTTTGACCTCCGTCGGGTCCAATGGCGGTCGGGTCCAATGGCGTCACCGTGTCCCTCGTTTCTTCCGCGTCGCAGAAATCAACCTTGAACGCCTTCTCCGGCGTCGCCGGCGTGCCAACGCCGCACGAACCTATCGAAACGACCGAAAAGACTCTACTTGGCCGACATACCAAAATGGTGGCGTCTCACTTTTACTTCCGCTTCCATCCGCCTTTCCTCCGCTAACTTCTGACAACGGGCCCACCGCCTTCGTACCTCCGCCGATCTTCCGCCGAGGATGAAGGTGCGACGAAAGCGAGGTCCTTCCTGGAGCGCTACACGTTGCTCCCAGACCCGGGCTGGCCAGATGGGATCGGAAGAGACTGGCTGGCCCCACTTCATGCGCCCAAACCATCCGACGAGGTCGTAAAGGCCGCCTGAAGTTCGGGGGACAAGGATGGGACCACAGCAGAACCATCAGAGAGCCATGGTGGCCCTATTGTCGGAGGGTCCTGGAACTACCTCGTTGCAGCAATGGCACGCAGCGATCGGGTGAAGTCATGCAAGCGAGCACTTTCCAACAATAAGATCCGTTGTGACGCTCTGGCCCGCAGCGCTATTGAAGCATTGCACATGCAGGGGCCGAAATGCGTTGGCAAATATATCCGAGGAGCTGTTGACGATAAGTCTTGCATTGAACTATCCTCAGCTTGTCGTTCCCCACGCTGCATCTTGTACTCCCTTCAATGTTCGGAACGTGCAATGCTTGCACCTGCTTCGATGACACAACTGGCGCGCTGGAATTCACTCGATTGTCGCTGGCACTGCGCGGGACGCATTGCGTATAGGACCAGCACCTCGTCCAATACTCCCTGGGGACACACGGTCATAATGGCGGAAGAAACAAACTATAGATGTGATAGTCGGGTGGGCCCGAAACGGTCAGTTCTTGCACTGTGGATGTGTACGCTTAGCGGTTCAACCACTGTGTTGTAGGCTACGTGGCGCAGTCCACCTTGCAGAACTTGTAGTCGTGAACTACACTTCTCGCGCAATCACCTCACCCTCCCACCCGGAACCTGTTTTGCACAACCCATGCGGCCGGAATTGCGGTGACTCGTCGGCACTGGCTGGCGCATCTCTGTGGCTGCGCTGGCGCGCGCAAACTCGCGCGCAGAACGACCGACTGATTCGGCACAACCGATGCGGCAGTGCGGCCGCGACGGCGCTTGGCGGTGGGAGCTTCCCAACGCGTCCCCACAGACCGTGTGCACGGGCGGGGACTTCATTGCGGGCCGGTGGCTCGGGCGGGCGCGGCATCATGATCTCAGATGTACTTCAAACGCTGGGGGGGGGGGGCGTTTCTGTTTTCTGTGTTGGTGGCCTTTTGATTCCGTTCTGTGGATTTGGGAGCCGCCATATTCTTTCAGTTTTGAGCTGGGTTTTGAGCCGCTCTCGGCGACCTCATTCTCTCTGTTTTCACGTTGGGAACCGGCCTGCGCTCTGTCGCCCCTTTTTTTGGCATCCGTTTCCGAAACGTGTTCAATACATTTCACGGACGCCAGCCATTTTGAACACATTTGTCGATGCGTTCCTTCCCATATTTCTCGTTCGTTCTTTGCTCGCCCACGACTGACTGTTTTCAATGGTTTGGGTTCGTTTTGTTTCCGTTTTGGTTGGCCGCAACCAGGAACGTTCAAAACAAGTAACATCTAATGCCATGATGACGTCGACCCAGGAGGCAGCGGCGATGATGGTGGTGATGGTTGTGGCGGTGATGACGATGACGGCGGCAAAGCCAGCGCTGTGATGGTGAGGAAGTGCGTGCGCGCGGACATGCAAGGGACCTGGCAGACTTGCTGTTGGAAGATATGTTTTTGTGTATTTGTACATGTGCTTTTGAAACTGTGGTTCAAAATTACACCAGAGAAAAACCCAAATCAAGTGATGATTTGATCGATAAAGAGATCGACCGGGAACCCGGGAACCCGGAACCCACCAAAATCGGCCCGGAACCAGTAACCAGGAACCCGGGAACCCGGAACCGGGAACCCGGGAACCCAGCGTGCGACCAAACTCGGCGGGAAACTTTCGCCAAATCTGTCAACTTCCGCGAGGACCCCTTCAGTGCAAGTTCTGATTGGGGATTTCTTTGGATTTCGCTTCAGCCGAAAGTTTGTCCACCTGCAAACTATACATAACAGAAACACGTCTAATGTCTCTGCTGGGGAGGCTCTCCTCTCCCTGAAGGGTGACGCTGGCTCTGGCGCGACTCTTGCGCACGACCTGCCAGCTCGAAACTGCTGGGGGTCCGAAAACTTTCGACCGCCCTACCCTGAAGGGCTTCGAGACCACCGCGTCTTGGACGAGCCCCGACGCGCGGGCGCGGGCGCGTGGCGGCGGGCGCGCGCGTGGCCCGCGTATAGTACTAATCTGACACGGGCCCGTGCACTGGGCGCATGCTGGAGCAACGCGGCTGCGCCCCGTGGTGACGTGAGCATGCGGCCCCTGGGCGAGATTTATAGGGAGCCCACAAAGGACGTACGCGCCCAGCTATGTACATGAACACGGCCCCTCGATCCGTGAGACCGGCCGCGTTATACGAACATTTGCGCAATGTGAACTCTCGAAACCAGCGTGGATTCATGTACATGTACGTCCTTTTTCCGCTCCTGAATGTATGTTGCGCCCATCGTGCTTGAGGACCACATGCCAGAAATAGTCTCGAGCACCCCCCGCAAAAAAATATCGCTACCCTGTCGAACGAATATTGCCTCCCAGGGCCCGACACGTGAACCCCCCCCCGTTTCGGTACTTTCTTGGTGCTCGGAAGTCTTGCTGGTGATCAAGGCTAAAGTAGGTTGGAACATCATAAGACGAGATTGCTATTGAATTCATCCCATGATCCAACATTTGGCCGCGGGCAGACACTTCTCCAGTTTATTGAGAAGCCAGAGAGACTCGAACGCTGCTAGATTCGAATGTTTCAAGACTTGTGCCTCGTATGGTCTCGACTTGTGCGTGCCAGAGTTGAATGTGCGTGAGAGAGATTACAAGGGCGTCTTGAATCACGCCAGAGAAACCCAACAACAATGGATGGTTTGAAAAGTGATACGGACCTGGAGATCGATTCTGAGATCGATAGTGCGATCAGTCGTGGAATCGATGGTGAGGACGATCGAAAGGTCGATCGTGAGATCGCTCGTGATCTATAAAGCGATCGATTGTGACATCACTATAGGCTGGATCGACAGTGACATCGTTAAAGAGGTGGGTAATTAATGAGATCGATGGTAGGACCGATCGAGAAGAAAACCGACCAGAAACCCGGGAACCCGGAAACCCGGGAACCCCGATTCCCACCGAAATCAGCCCGGAACCAACAAGTGGGAACCCGGGAACCCAAAACCGGTAACCGGGAACCAAGTCGCCCACCGAAATCGGCCGGAAACTTTCGACACCAACATCCGCTAGGACCCCTTCAGTGCAAGCACTCATTGGGGAAAGAGATCTTACGAGATAAACAAGTGTTCGCGCATAGTCAATGTGTGGGGGCCGAACGGTCATTCACTGTCCATGGGAGCGTGGCTGAAGAGGGGTTCGACGGTGCGGATTGTTGTTGCATTGCGTTGCGTTGCGTTGCGTTGCGTTGCGTTGCGTGTTAGTCGTCGCCCCTCTCGCGAACTGGCACGCGACCCACCCGCGACCCGCCCGCGACCCGCCCGCGACCCACCCGCGACCCACCTGCGACCCACCCACGACCCACACGCAACCCACCCGAGACCCATCCGCGACCCACGCGCGACCCGCCCACGACCCGCCATCGACCCATCCGCGACCCCCCCCCGCGCCCCCCACCCTCACTCTTATCCGCAACTGCGGGGTGCTACATTTTAAGTTGGATGTGTTTCACGGGGGGGCGATACCGAGCCGTGGTAGAAAGCCAAATTGAAAATGAACCATGGGGCAGAAGTGCATGTAAAGTCGCAGTGTCCTAGGCGGGGGAGGGTGGTGGAGTCTATTCTTCTTTCTTATGGGAGGAGGACACACGCGGGCAAGCTAGAGGCGGCAGCGACAGGGGGGTCACGGGTGGCGACGTGGCGACACCACGCCAGACTCACCCAGCGCAGGAGGCGGCACTCAGGGGGGCCAGGGGCGGCAACGTGGCGAACCCTTGCAGGACCCTCCCGGCGCACGAGGCGGCAGCGAGGCGGCTGCGAGGCAGACACTGGCGGCGACCGGCGGCGACGTCGTGGCGAAACCCTGCGACACAGCGCGCGAAGCGGCGGCGGGGCGTCGCCAACGAGACGGCAACGCGGCGAAGCCTTACCCCACCTGCACGGCGCACGGGACGACAGCGAGGCGGCGACGAGGCAGCATAACGTGGCGGAGCCTCGCCGGACCGACCCAGCGCACGAGGCGGTAACGGGCCAGCAGCGAGACGGCAACGGGCGGCAACCATGAGATTCCTCGCCAGATCCAGGCAGTCTTATGAGGAGGACAAGTGAAGCCCCCTAAGCTGTAAGCGCAAGCACTACCTACTGGGGAATGAGCTTTTTAATGTCTTCGCGGGCACTTTTGGGTCTAAGTCCCGTAATATGCCGCGCAGACCCCATCATTCGTTTGTTGACCGACCTCCAATCGAAGAGTTATCTTTCTTCCCAAGACGTGATGCGGAACCAACCTGCCTGCGTCTGTCCTCCCACCCCTCCGGCACGTGAAGAATGTGGTGTCCAGAATTCCTCCTTTGGGGCCCCAAACCTTCGCCTCTAGGATCGCGATCCGCGTCGCGAGTATCTCGTGCGCCCCTTTCTTTTGCTTCATGTGCAGCTGGAGCTTGGCCTTCTGCGCCTGCAGCTCCGAGATCTCATGGGACAGACTCCTGCGGGGCGGATCGCTGGCGAGGCCCAGTGCAGCGACCGAGTGCTGAGCATCAGGAGTCGGGAGTCGGAGAAGCGGAATGTGAGGCCGCCCAGGCACGCAGCCCCTCGACCTCCCAGTGAGGGTCTGGGACGGGAGCGCCTACGTTTCAGTCGGGCCTGCCCCCCTGCAGGGGGATTTTGGACGAAACAAATAATTTCAAAATAGCCTAAAATATTCAAACATTGTCAAAAATAGTCCCCTGACAATTTTTTGACTGTTTTTGAATGTTCCTCCTGTAGAGGGACAGGCCCGCCTTAAGCCTACGTGCACGGCGACGCGTGGCCTCGACGATGCCCCGATCCCCTCCCTTACGGCGTCGCGGTCGTCTGGGCGAAGCCCCGGCGATACGATGCGAGACGTGCCCATGGGTTCCAGGCGCTGCCACACGTGCGGGTAAAATACAGTCGGGGCGTTGACCTAAGGAACCCTAAGTAAGAAACGAGGCCCCTTTTTTCCCCTAAGTTAAACTTCGATTCCCCATGGAAAACCCAAGGGAAACTGCAAAACAGTCAAGGAACACCGAGCCCCTCCCCAACGAAAAGGGTTCCTTCTTCAGGGCCCCGGCCGTAGGCCTTGCGACAGGAACGCCGAGTCCCGTGGGATCTCAGCACCTCTTCCCGGGAGAGGCCTGCGCCCCAGGAAGCACGGAGGGCAGCGCAAGATTCCACGAAGCCCGAGCCGGAGGGGCCGGGAGGCCAGATGTGGCCGAGGGACTGTCGGCGCAGCCGCAGCCACGAGCTCGCGGCCGAGGCACTAAACGCCTGGAGGGGGGACGAAGATGCCACCTGGTTCCTGGTTACTGGTGAATGGAGAGAACGTCGCTCGTAGCATCCCCTTCCCCCAGGGCCCGTCGGCCCTTCAGGGGGTGAGCAAACTCGGGACAGGTGGCCCCTGGAGCACCGCTCCAGGCTCCAGGGGCCACAGGCGACACACGTGTTTTGACGTGTAGAAGGAGTTTCAATTGCAAACGCGTGGGATGCCACCTCCTTTCCTCCCTGTGCCTTCCTCCCTCGAACCTCTCCTTTCTTCCCCCGGCTGGCCTGCCCACCCCCACTTGAATCCCTACGCCTCCATTTGTGCTGCAGCCAAGATGGGGGAGGAGTGGGACGGAGAAAGGGAACAGGAAGCAGATGTGGGAGGAGAAGGGTGTGGGAGTGGGAGAAGGGAAAATGAGAGGGGGAAGTCGGGAGGAAACCGGAGAGGCAGGCCAGGGACGTGGGGAAGAAGGACCCCCTGCACCCCATAAACCTGCCCCTGGCTCCCGAACCTGTCGATTCGCGGCTGCGCCCGTGTCTGGATGTGCTGATTTCCAATTCCTCCCGTTCCCAATGCAATGGTGCGGCAGATTCCTGCCTTGACGACGTGGGAGCCGATTTCTGAGACCACGCGAACCGTTCAATCTGGAGTGCTATGGAGGTCCTCAGGCTGTCGGTACGCTGTTTACCCATCGGTCGGAAGAAGCAGGTAGAAACACGAAGCAGGAAAGCGTTGAAAATAGACTGGGTGTGAAGCCACTCGATCATTGAAGCAGGAAGGCGCTTAACGTAGACTGGAATCTGGGAATCCAAACAGACCTACTTTCAACGACCGATGGGTAGTGTCATTGCACCAGCCTTGCAGACGTGCTGCAGCGGATTTCTGTGGATTTTTGCCCGAAGCAGCATGCGAAAAACGAAGTGAATTCCGCGTGGATTCTTCTCGGTCTTCGTTCCTGGCCGAACAGAATCCGCACGACACTCACCTTGAAATCCGGAACGAAATTCTCAAGGACACTCTGGGCCCACCCTAGCGCTTTCCGAGCGAAATCCGCTCGGCGATGTTGGCGCCATGAGCAATTTTGGAGTCCCGAAACAGTGCCGTGACAGACCGTGCGGTGACCTCCAAATCCCCCAAGACCTCACCGCACGGTCCGTCACCGCACGGTCTTGGGACCCTGGAGGCCCCTGTCGCCCGAGACATCCTCAGAGAACGACCCGAGTCCCAAAACCGTGCGGTGACCCCGAATCCCCACCGACTCACCACACGGTGCGCTCACCACCCCGTTTGGGGGCACCCGAGCAGTGGGGGCAGGCCGCGACGGGACCCCCGGAGGACGCTCCAGCCTGGAACGCCCCGCGCCGGCGGCGTCGCCGCACCGAGTCGACGCGGACGTGTCGCGGGCGGCCGGCGGCCCCCGCGGAGGCACGGAGAGCGGCACAGACCCCCCAGAGGCTCCCAAGATGCCCCCTCCTCCTGCTCCTCCTCCTGCTCCTCGTCCTCCTCCTCCTCCTCCTCCTCCTCCTCCTCCTCATCCTCATCCTCATCCTCCTCCTCCTCCTCCTCCTCCTCCTCCTCCTCCTCCTCCTCCTCCTCCTCCTCCCCTCTCCTCCTCTCCTCCTCCCTCCTCCCTCCTCCTCCTCCTCTCCTCCTCCTCCTCCTCCTCCTCCCTCCTCATCATCATCATCATCATCATCATCATCATCATCATCATCATCATCATCATCATTCATCATCATCATCTTTTTCCTCCTCCTCATCTTCATCTTCATAATTTTTCCTCCTCCTCCTCCTCCAGCTCCTCACCTCCCCTCCTCCCCCCTCCTCCTCCTCCTCCCCCTCCTCCCCCTCCTCCCCCTCCTCCCCCTCCTCCTCCTGGCTGGCGCGTGTCCCGAGGCGGCTCGGTGTGGTTGGAGCGTGGTTGAAATCACGGCTGACGGCTGGCCCCTCCGAGCGAAGTTCGGAGGGCTGCCGGGCTCTTCTAGACAGTGCCACGGGGAGAGCGTTGGGCCGGCCTGGAGGCCATGCGTTTGGGCCCGCCAGATGTCACCATCATTAGTGATCATTTGAACTTTGTTCGTGAGGGCCAAGCTTGGGACGCCGGTCTTGAGTCGGGCCTTTCGCGCAATGCTTCCATCTGGAGGAAGATCTTCAGTGTGTCGGAGAGGTCTGGTGGCAGGCCGGCTTTTCTCTGGACTCCAGCGCACAGGACGCTGGAGGAACTCGTCGAGGCGCAAGCGGCGCCCGACGAGCTTTGGCGGTTCATGGGCAATGCGTGGGCCGATTTTTTCGCCAAGCTCGGAGCTAAGGATGTGGCTGTGGCTGAAGTCGCGGTCAGTGCCCTTAAAAACGAGGTGCGGAATTGTAAGCTCACGTTTGAGTTTTTGTCGCGGGCGGTTCATTTGATTTGCTCCCGTCCCGAGGCCCAGCAGTGTGATCCACCTCCTCCTCCTCCTCCTCCTCAGGCTGTAGAACGCAGGTGTGATAAGCTTGTTCTGATCGCGCACGATCCTGTGCCCCTGGCCCCTGGCTTGCCGACCGCGGTGCAGTGCAGGCGCTGCTTGGCTGTGGCTAAGACCCCTTCCAGTGTCAAGAAGCTCCTGAAGCCAGGGGCCAAGTGTGCTCCACCTCCCATGCTCCAGGCCTTGGCCCAGGCCGTGGAGCAGATGGGATGGCGGTCCCGTAAGGGAGGGAGGGGCGTGGCGGCGGAGATGGGCGGACTTCTTTTCGAGTGTGATGGCCACCGGGTCCACCGCACGGGGCCGTTTTTTTTGCCTCCGCTGTGGGGCGCGGGTGGCAGTCGGCTCTCCCAAGATCGATGCCCTCGGGGAGGCCTGTCCCTCGGCCCCCCCGGACCCCGCCCGTCGGCGTGCCAGGGAGTGGCTCGCTGATGGCAAGCACCCTTCTACAGGTGCTGTGCTGAGTACCTAATGCGTTGGGTTTCTCGCTGGCGTCGGCGGCTTTACCACGCCAGCATTTCACAAACTGTATGTTAGTGCGTTTTGCATCTGAGTTTAAGGTGTGCCTCCATATCATGTCCAGGCTGTGTTTCGTTTTCGGATGACTCATTGTCCTATGGCTCGGCTCGGCTCCCCCTCCTCCTCCTCCTCCTCCTCCTCCCCCTCCTTCTCCAGCTCCTCTCCTCACCGCTCCGCGCGGAATCCTCGGATCGGCGCTGGCCCCTCGTGGCGGCGTGCTCCGGGCGCCACCCCTCGCGCGCTCCGCGCGCCAGGGGTGGGGGTCCGGCGCCGATCCAAGACATCCGCGCGGACCTCCAGAAGATTAGGCTCATGCCGCTTGACATAAGCAGAAAAGCTCAGAGGTCCGCGCGGATTCCTCGGATCCGCGCTGGGGCCCCAGGCGCGCGGTTCAGCGCGGATCCACGGAATTCGGACGGACCTCCGAACTTTTATGTTCATGTCACTTTTCGTTCCCGTCAGAAAACATGAGCGAGAGCGGCATGAACGTAAGCGTCTGGGGGTCCGACCGACTTCTGCTGTTCTCTGTTCTTCTTCGACCCCTCCTGGAGGCCTCTTTTGACTGTCTTGGAGGCCTCTTAGGGACCTCTTGGGCCGTCCTGGAGCCATCTTAGAGGCCTCTTGGGTGATCTTGGGGTGATCTTGGGCCTCCTGGACGCCCTCTCCTTCGACCGCGACCACTCTGCTCCGCCGCTGCTCTTCCTCGACCACGCCCTCCTCTTCTCCACCGGCCTGGCGCGTCTCTGCCCGGCGCGGCCCGCGGGCTGCTCGCCCTCTTGGGCCTCAAGACGGCCAAGAGGCCTCCAACACGCACAAGACGGCCTCCAAGACGGACCCGAAGCGACCCAAGAGGGCCCCAAGTCGGTTCAGAGGGGCCCCCAAGACGGCTCCTGACGGCGTCAGACGGGCCAAGAACGCCGTAAGACGGCCAAATGGCAAGCCCCCGAGAAGTCCCTCGCCGCTGGCCGACAACTCTCCCGCGGCCCTCGCGCCGGGAGCAGAGCGGCCGGGAACGGCTGCCTCGGGCCGAGGCGAGGCCACGGCGGGGGCCCCGAGAAGGAGGAGGCGGAGGAGGAGGAGGAGGAGGAGGAGGAGGAGGAGGAGGAGGAGGAGGAGGAGGAGGAGGAGGAGGAAGGGGAGGACCAGAGTCAACCCGAGGTAAATCAACGATGCTGCAACGCACCCTCCCGTCCCGTAGCGGCGCGCACTGCATCTCGTCGGGCGC